TGACAGTGGTAGTGTAATTCTGAAAATTTAGCTTGCTTAGAGTTTCATTGTTTTTGCTTGTTGAATTTGTCTTTGTATTTGCATTGAATGAGTGTTCAAATGTGTTGTGTGATTTTTTGTAAAAATTAAGTGTGTTTGAAGTTAACTTGTGATTTGGTAATATGATTGGATTGGATGTTTTACTTAAGTAATTAGAACAACATAAAACATGTTTTTAAAATAAACCGTGTTAAGAAAAAGAAGAGAAATACCAATTTGATCAATGGACAAATTAAAACTCTACATTATCTACATGGGTTGTTATCACCATGAGTGTTACAAAGATAATGCTTAAGTGTCAACCTTAAATTTCAAAGTCAACATGAATAAATGTATACAATAAAATTCATTTAAAATTCATGTAAATAATACATATTCATACCTAAAATCAAATATTATCTTCTTATTCACGTCTAAATAATCTAATCGTAACTAGTTTCATTTTTGCTCAAATTTAAGTTATTTGTTCTCTGAAAATTAAACGATTAACCTTATCAATAATTTAAACATACTTTGCCATAAACCAATAAAAATTCATTTTATCTCAAAAATAACAAATGCAAAATCTCTAATATCTATGCGGGCAAAATTTCTCAAAATCAACTTAATAAAAAGACAATAAGAAACCTATTTTGAGATCAATTGTGAAAAAACAAACTTACTTTGTTATCTATTACATGCTATAAGACGATACAAATTTTTGAAAAAAATAAAAGAAGATAGAAAAAATAGAGAGAATATATATATTAAAGATATGGTGATTTTTCTAGAACAAAAATTAGTTGATTAGTTTATTTTTTTTTCTGCTTGCAAACCTATACTTCAATAATAAAATATTGATATTTTATCTCAACTAGATTAGTTTTAGTCTTAAACAATTAAATAGAAACTTTTTTACACAATTTGTTCCAGAAAAATTAGATTTAAAAATTAAAAGAAATTAGAATTTTGACCTTTCTAATAATTAATTCGCGACTATCTTATTTTGCATCGGAAAGATTTTAAATGTTGTTGTCAATTATTATTATGCTTTTTCTTATACTATTAACGGATCATGATATAATTTGATTAAACCAGATATATTAGTGATATATTATTTGTTTTTAATGAATAGAGTACTCATTACGTTTTGTTTTTTCTTTTTTTTATCAATATAAAAAATTGAACTCACATATTTTCACTAGTTTAAACAAATAAAACAAAATTGTGACCAACTTCACTAATAATTCAATTTTGAAAAATAAATAAAATTTATTAAAAAGCGGAAACCATTCTCCTACACGACACGAGAGAGAAGCGAGCGAAAAGATGAATTTACGAAATCTATAAATTCCTGAACCGAGCTAAAAGGAAATGTTATATTGTTTTGGTTCCGTTTCATTTCCGATCATAACTATAAGCCTTGCTGCCAGTTTTCGTGATCACTCTCAGCTGCGCCGTGCTCATAGATCCAGCGCCAGGTGGTAACATTGTTCTTATTTCTTGCACATTTCGTTCCTTCGCAATGATTTCGTCTCGCTTTAGTTTTCGTGAGCGATAATTTCTTCCTTTTGTGTTTTGATTTGCTAAAAGAGATCCATCTGCACTTAATCTTGTATCATTTTCGCTCTAATTATGCGTGTTTGGGAATGTAGCCATTTTGATAGGATCAGGACGCCTATATAGGCTGCATGAGATTTGAGTCATCGTTGATTAGATTTAGACTCCACCGCATGGAATGTCTTATGTCGCTGTGTTTGGTTGCGTAGCTTTAGATTCGACAGAGTCAATTATAAATGCCGTGAAAACGAGCGATTTCATTTTATGTGGTTCTGTTTTTAGCTACTTTTGTTCCCTTGAGATGATAAACAATGAATTCTCAAGGCGGTCTTCCAAGGGTGTGTGATGTGAATTACGTTAGTCTACTATAAGAAAGAACTATGGCGCAAACTTCTCAATAAGTTATAAACTTACACAAAGCCAACTTGTGGAGCATGTGATAAGATATCTTCTGCAAATCAACTTCTATGGAAGTTAGTTTAACTTTTTGGAAAAACTGATTTTACCTTTCTTCCTACAAACGCACGACTTGCACCTGTGTAATAGCTGCCATTTTATGAATGAGTTTACTGTTGAACTTTTGAAATTACAAGCATTGTTGTTGATATTTTTCACTAATAGACTTGAACCTTGATCATTTACAACTGTTTCCTTTTTTTGTCAAGTGTCACTGTGTCTAGGTGTTGTATTGGAGAATATATATGGTGGAATTTTTTTTAAAATAATTTGTTGAGTTGATTGCTTTATTTTTTGGTTAATAACATAATGTGCCTGATTTCAAAAGCCCAAAGATATGCAAGGGTTGATTCTAGACCTGTGGGAACTTTGCTTTACAGGCCTTTTTGATTTTGCCAAGCTTTCTCTACAAGACCGGAGTAAAAGGGAATCTAGGGGGGTGTCATATTGACTACGATAATTGTATATCTTGACATAGGATCTGGCGGCGGTGCGGCTGCTAACAACTCATGGATTTAATTTGCAGAGTCAATTCTGACATGGAAGCACTCCCTACTATCTCAAAGATCAAGTGAAAAAGATGGAAACACTTTTGTCTCCTTACAGTCCCCTGGTTAAATATTGAAGGACTTGCTTGATTTGCTTTGGACTATTTAACATTAATTATTTGATGTTTTCTTCACTAAATTCTTTGATTGTCAACTTTTTCTTTTATATATATATTTTCTTTGTACTAACTCCAATTGTTTTATAATAGTTTTAAAACCATGTCCTGACACTACAAGCCCGAAGGAGCCTTAGTAATATATATTTTTTCTGTTTGAAATTGAAATCTTGTATAAATATTTCATACTGCATCCTCTAGTAACATTGAAGTTTGAATTTGCTTCAAGGGTTACTCTTAATTTTGATCTTCTAGTGTGTGTTGGTTTTTTATTTCAGTCAATTCTAGCTATGCCTGTTTTGAATGTTTAATTTCAATCCTAAATTAATGTTGGCCTTGATGCTCTGATAATTTGTGTGTCACAAGGCCAACGGGATGTTACTAAAATGCGGGGTTGGGATTCATAGATTTAGACAGTTCACTTCTGTAACTGAAAGATTAGTATATTTTTTTACTTAGGAAAAATAATTCAAATGGAGGGAAATGGTATTCTCTCTTCGATTCTAATTATTGACTTTCTTTATGACTCAATTAAAAACTTTGTTTTACTTGTTGATCATGGTGTCTTGCTGCATCCATTGTGAGCAAATCGGAAAAGGTGAGTTTTTCGTAGCTTTCTACTAAAGTCCCTGAACTTTTCCTTTGAAAGAATAGTTGGCTTCTTCCTTTTTAGTAATTTGAACCTGAAAAACAGGCTATATGTCTTAGGAACTAAAAAACATTATATGTAGTACTGATATATGGTTTTAGGAACTAAAAACCATGACAGTTAGTTTGTTTATAGTAGGAGCTACTCTCCAATACCATATATTTGATTGGTTTGTGTTTCCTGATTTTTAGATCACCAAGAAACTAATATATGATGATACTCCTATTGTTAAATTTGGTCAACGCATAATCTACATTTAGTCTATTTTCTTGTACTGAATCTATCTTCCTTAATCTCCGTCAGCAACATAAGTGGAGCTTACGAAAATCCTTTTACTACTGAATAACTCAATAGTTAACGTTGTGTATGTTACTCAAATATATATCTAATCAATTGGGTCCATTATTATATGTCAAATTCCAAGATTAATTTTAGTTTGTTCTGCAAAGCTTAATTGTGAATTCGTTTATGATGTTGAATTTGGTGGCCTGTACCTAAACGAATGGATTCACATCTATGCTCTTTTTGTACCAGCGCCACCATTTTGTGTTATTTGCAGTGCTAGTTTCAGACATTTGGTGGACCATGTCTCGTATCAGAATTGAGGGTTTCTAAGCAGCATTCCCAAGTTGGTAGACACCGGAAAAGCAGCACACATTTTTGAGACGGAGAATGTACCTATGTTTACCAGCCAATAGAAGCCTCTATCTATTATTATAACAAACAAAAGTAGCAACAACATGGCAAGACTTTGGCAACTCTGAGACTACTCTCCAGACTTGTATCCTTTTTTATGCTTTATGTTTAAATGGTATTATGCCATTAGCTCAATTTCTTGTTAATGCTGGCTTGTCTGAACTTGGTGAGATGGCTCGCTGCCCTGAATTTAATTTGTTTTGTGCCCTTGTCTTACTCATTTTGGTTTTCTTTTTAGTGAGTTAAAGTACAATAACAAAGGTAGGATTTTCTTAGACAATGGCATTTAGTATGCTTATTTTTATAGGAAGATCAGGGATGGTTTAGGATTGATCAATGGTTAGTGACTGCAAGTTTGGGATCTTTTAAAATTATCGGTCAGATTAAGTCATTTAATATCTTATATATTCTTTTGTCAAAATATATGTGCTATATCTATCTAGGCTTAATTATTTTCAAATCCTTCACACAAATTGAGTATTTTTTATTCAGTTCCTATTTTTTATTTATGTATTGAGTACTCAATTAAATTTTTTAATTTTTTCATTAACTATATAGCTATTATCTTGTCATGTCATCTTGCTTACTTATCTTCACATGTTAAGAAAACATGTTAAATAATGACATCGTCATGCTCTTCAATGTCTTACATGTCATCCCCTAGATTGACCAAGAGGATATTGTCATTACCACTATTGGTGTAGGTGTCGATAGTATCCAACACTTTTTCAATGAAAGCAATATAAAATACTTGTTGTTTTACATTAACTGCAATATCGTTTTATATTAACTATAAGATCTCACATTTCTTAACACGTGAAAATAGGAGATCACGAACAAAGGGTAAAATAGCAGCCACGTTATCCTCTTAAATAGAGACTCTACTAAAAGTATCCAAATTTATAAGAGACTTAAAAGTTCATCAAGCATAGTTATAATTAGTTCATTCCTTATTACTTTTTTAGGTGCCTGAATATTCTTACTCCCTCGATGAAGAGGGTATTTGCGAACATGCATTTGAGTTGATTTTTGCATTTGATGAAGTCATCTCTCTTGGGCACAAGGAAAATGTGACTGTTGTACAAGTTAAGAACTACTGTGAGATGGAGAGTCATGAAGAGAAACTGCACAAACTTGTTATGCAGAGCAAAATCAATGAAACTAAGGATGTTATGAAGCGGAAAGCTAGTGAGATTGATAAAAGCAAGGTATGATTGGAGGGACTATGTTACATTGTTTTATATTCTAGGAGTGACATTATTTGTTCAAATTAATGTATGTTTTCTGCAGGTTGAAAAGAACAAAGCGGATAAAGGGGGATTTGGTCCCTTACAGTCACTAGGCTCTGGAAAAATTGAAAATAGCCTTAGTGATTTGAGCATATCTAGCAGCGGAACTGCTTTTGGAAGTGGCTCTGGTCTCGGATTTAGTTCTGATGTTGATTCCTTTCCTACCAAGTCTAAAGGTTTGGTCTTCATGAATTTTCATGAAATATTCTAGAATGCTTCTAACTGTAATAATGACTGGAAAGCCATCGCAACATGTTGTATCCTGGCTGTGGTTTATTCTATATCCAAATTAAGATTTTCATCTATGTAGTTCTGTATTATTCCCATCCTTAGGTCGTCCTACATCATCTGCTACTGCTCCACCAAAAGGTCTTGGAATGAAGCTTGGTAAATCCCAAAAGGCAAATCAGTTTTTGGAATCATTGAAAGCAGAAGGTGAGGTCTTTCTTGAAGATGTTCAGCCAAAACTTGGCCAGTCTCAGGCAGCTGCCCCACCACCTACGGATCCCATCACTTTAACTGTTGAAGAGAAACTAAATGCGACACTAAAGCGAGACGGTGGAATCGGTAATTTTGATGTTCAAGGCACAATGTCCCTCCAAATTCGCAGCAAAGAGGATGGACATATTCAAGTTCAGGTATCACATTCTCACTATCTCTTTCTACCTCGACGTGTCTCCAGTGAGCTTCTGGTTTTCATAACTTTTGGTGTGCCTTATTAACTTGAAAGGATCTTTTCGTGAACAACCATTAACTAATACAGTTGGATTACAACATATCAGTCTTAGTCTTCTGTCTTGCATGAAAAGAACTCACAGTTATGAATGAAGCATGATGTCATCATGACAACTAGGACAAATATAAAAGGAAGAAAAAAAAGAAGGTGGATCAGATATATTCAGTTACGCACAAAGGACGAAATGATGTGGAAGATACTGGCGGTTAAAATTCCTGCAGGATGATATTAGTGCTGCTTCCGTAGTTTGATTAATATGAAGTATTTTGGTGCTTTCGATATGTCATGTATTGTTAGTTAGAGTTTAACTGAACAATTTTCGTCAGCATGTATTGTTAGGGTTTCTTGCTTGAGACGATTTTTAATTCAAAAATCAATTCTAGAGGACAATTAAAATTATGAGCACTTGCGTACTATGCCATGTTTTTACAGGTCCAGACTGGTGAGAATCAAGCCATTATTTTCAAGACACACCCCAACATGAATAAAGAATTATTTGCCAATGAAAATATACTAGGCCTAAAGGATCCCAATAGACCTTTCCCCACTGGTCAAACTGGTGGTTCTGAAGGTGTCGGTCTCTTAAAGTGGAGAATGCAAAGCACTGATGAATCAATGGTACCGCTGACAAGTGGGTTTACAACTGCTTTTCATATGGTCCACTATTTTGTATTTGTATTACCGCATTAATAACGATGCCTGTTGCAGTCAACTGCTGGCCTACTACTTCTGGAAACAATACTTCTGTCAGCATCGAGTATGAGGCTTCTTCAATGTTTGATTTGCGGGATGTTTTGATTTCAGTACCTCTTCCATCTCTTCGGGAAGCACCATCTGTTAACCAGATTGATGGGGAATGGAGGTGTGGGATTTCTTTCTTTACTTTTTTCCCTCTGAATAAATGTCAGGGCCAACATTTTTGTGGTTTGCATTGGACATTGCTGCAAATGAGCGGGTTTATATTAAAATCAATATGTGTTATGTTAACGGTTGGCAATCTTTGAAATGCTGACCGTCTTTGGATGAATTAGAAAGCTTCACAGAATCAACTCTGCTCCCCTCCCCTCCCAAGATCACCATCAGTCGATGACTTAGCATACATATTGTTTATGTTGTGAAATTATTTTATTTTACTGTTTCTTTCTTTCTCTCTTATAATCCCCTATAAAATTGGTTTTACAGGTATGACTCCAGGAATTCCCTTTTAGAGTGGTCTATCCTTCTGATTGATAATTCAAACCGCAGGTATGCTAAATCTTGGATGATCTTTTTAAAAGTTAACGTGCAGTATTTACTACTATGTTAAACTTTTCAACTTGCTTTGTCTGACGTAATATAATTTCAGTGGATCAATGGAATTTGTTGTTCCGCAAGCTGATGCATCAGCATTCTTCCCCATTTACATTCATTTTATGGCAACAGATACATTTAGCAAACTGAAGGTTTGTTTGTATTTTCAAAGTTAAATCCGAAACATTTATTTGCTGGGCAATCTTATATCATTTAATTCAATTCATGTGCCATCATCTAAAATAGTGGATTATAATTGACATGCCATTTTTTAATATTGATTGAATGGGAGCTTACACTTACGCATTCACTTCTCTTTGTAGGTCACCAACACCATACCGCTAAAGGGTGGTAATCCTCCTAAATTTTTTCAGCGGACACAGTTGATCACAGAAAACTACATGGTTGTGTGATTCATTTTCTCCCTCTTGAGGCTGAACCATGACAGGTTGGCTTTTACCAATGCGATTCTTTTACCAAAGGGTTTTCCTTCACCACGTTGCATCATTTATTAAATTCGACTCAGTTTATTTGCAAGCGCAGTCCAAAGTAAGAAATTTCACAATTTGAAACTTAAAAATCTCTTTTTACTTCTTAGCTTCTATATTTTATACGGTGGGATGCCATTCCCATCTCTCTGTCCTCTGAATTTGAGAATGGAATAAATAAAATATGTTGTTACACCGCAAAATAGGCAAAAGTTCTCTTTACTTTATAACAGAAACTAATCAGACGCGCTCCTTCAAAGAAATCATGCATCAAAAACCACTACTGATGGTGGATTTAAAATATTGGCCTGATTAATTGAGTTTAATTTTTATTTTACTCATTATCAAATAAAGGATTTTGTACTGTTATGATTAAAAATATTATCTCCAATTTTAAGTAATAATATTTATGAAAAATAAATAAATCGAACTAATTTAATAAATCTACGTAATAATGTTACATGAGGGTTATAGAATTTAGATATTCTTTTATAAAAAAAATCAAGTGAATAAGCTCATTTTAATCTTTGAGGAACTTTAATAATTTCATTTTAATATTTTCTATTACAAGTGTTTTTAGAATTCTTTATTTAAATGGGATGTATACGTGATTTTCAAAGTAGTTATTATAAAAACCAGTAATCTAAACCTATATGACAATTTATTATTGGATTTATATTAATTATTAACTAGGAATTCACTTGAATTAAATGGCTGTTATTTATGAGTAAGAAAAAAAAAGATTTGTGTTCTCAAATGTATAGCTTGATTGTGTTTTCGCAGTGTGATGCTAACACAACAATTGACATAAAAAAAAAGCTTTTCCTCTGATTTGACACAATCTCTCACTCTATTTTTTTAAAATATTTAAATATTTACTTTTTTTCCCATATAATATTAGTTATTGAAAACTGCAAAGTAATTATTAAAATTCACTAAATATGTATACTACGACTTACAAATTTGTAATATATTATAATTGAATTTTACTTCAATAATAAAAGAAATTTGAATAATAAAATATTTTAGAGAATATATTAAGATATTTCTGTCTTATACAGACCCAACTCTCGCGTATTAGATCTAAATCAGAGATGAAGAGCAGTATAAAAGTACAACAGGAAACTTTCTGCCCCGGTCTCGTGCTGTATAATTTCTTCAACCAAGTTTGTTTTTATTAATGGATCAAGAAAAAAAAAGAAGGTTATAGTAGTTGTTGGGGTGCCCTTAGTAACAAGTGTACTGCTTCGATTTAACTCGGCCTACTTTCAATTTTGACAGGAATAATTGAGAACAATTTCTTTCTGCACCTCCATAACTTTCATTTTACACTTCTCATGTAAAAAACTTTCTGTTTTACTTTTTTCTTCGGATTGTCTAATTTAAAAAAATATTTTTTTGTTTTTAAAATTTTTAAAATAAAATTTATGGATTCCACAATTAGAAAAAGTTTCAGATTATATAATCTAAATATTATTTTTTTAATAAGTTAAATAATTAAAAAAAGAACAAAATAAGAGTTTATTTATATAAAAGTGGATGAAAAGCCTTATGGAGATTCAGGAAGAAATTGCGTAAATTGGGTTACTTTTTGAAGTAGATTTGGAATTAGAGCCCAACCTTTATCATAGGAAAAATTATTAACCTACTTTATCACATTCAACAAACTAAATATAATTATTTTATTTGCAATTATTGGACTGGTTGAGGAAGATGGGTAAGCGTGTGAAATATGAACAATTACTTTGTTTGTGACCCTTAATCTATTGAAGATAAGATTTTGAATTTAATTATTTTTTAATTTCTCGTAACTGTACCTTTTCTCCTCAATCAAAGGTGTGAGTTCACAAAACCTATATCACCTAATGGACCAACTCAACTTAGCTATTATCTTTTCGTTTCCATCTTTTCATAAAATAGAAAATGCCAACAAACACATTTTTCAATTGAATAAAGTGCTCGTAAACTTTGATTAATTATAATAATAGTATCTCAATGGCATTCTTTTAACGTGATTTTTAGCAAAAAGAAATGTGTTGATAAACTCTTGATAATAAAAACTTTATGCATATCTTATAACGGGTCATATGGGATAGAATTTATTTCCCTATTCAATTTGTAATAAAAATTCATCTATCATCATTTTGTTATCGATAAGATATTCATTCAAAAAAATATCTTTATATATTTTAGAATTCACATGAAAATCTGAATCTTTTAAAATATATATTTTATAAATTTTTAAAATAAAATTATATAATATAATATAAATTAAATTTTAATTTTAATTAATTATCATATAATAAAATATAAATTAAATTTGAATCTTAATAAATATCTATAAATAAAAATAATACGATATCAACATCTAAACTCTTTAAAATATTAAAATATTTTATTCACTCTTGATAGTAAATAAATATCTACAAATATCAATTATTCGTTACAAATTCCATTTATAAATGTTTATTGACATAGTTTATTTTTGTCTCTTAATTAATCTTGTATATATTTGGATCCATAATATTAATGTTAATCTTGTATGTGTTTGGTTTCTATGTAGAGAACAAACAACCTATTTTTGGACACTACAACATCCTAGTACCTAGAAGAGACGCTACTACCCTACAAAGTTATGTAGCCTTTTCTTTTCTAATTTAACTACCACACAACCTCATTTCACATTTTTAAATAATAATTTTAAATCTTTACCCTCCCTAAGGTTTTCCCTTTCACTACTACGAAAAGTATCTTTTACAACATAATAAGAATATTTATAAGAACCTATTTAACACAAAATACAATAGTAATCCTCTAAATTTTATGGAGTGTTTTAATTGAGTATTACGTAATCATTTAAAGGACTGAAAGGAACATAATATTTACATTAAATCAATGTATTCTATATAGTTTATTTAAAATGTGCTTTTTGTATTTTTTTTATTGAACATCCACACTTAATAAACCTTTATTTAAAAGGTTTCTTTTCATTCTTATTAAAGTCGTTGTCACTTTTATTCACAAGAAATAGATATGACAATGAAGTCCATCTCTTTAAAATCCTTTCTCAAAACAAATACGAAAATTTCCTCTCTAAATTAATTTAAAAGCAGTGCAAAATATCTTATTTTTTATAATACATTTTTAAAATTGATTCTAAAATCGATCTATGAATAATTTAAAATGGATGTTTTTCTTCTTGTTTTAGAAAATCTTCTTAAAGCTTAAATCATAGTTTGGTTTAGATTCTTCAATTCAATATTTCCTTATTTGTATCCCATTTTATTGCGCTCGCTATGTGCATCCACTCCAAAAGAAAAACTTTATAAAAAATCAACCACATCAAAATGCTTTTAATTTTGCCTTTTATCGTGAGTAAGAAAAGTGAAACATTATAATTAATCCCTATTAGCTTTAATGTAATCCACCTTGTTAAAAGCCATAATGATATATAATTAGGGTAAAGCCGCAATAAAATAAGGGCGTTTAAAGTTAACTATAAATAGTATAGAAGAAAAAGTGTACTATATTTTTTCTTAATTTAGTTTAAAGTGTATCGTGATTTTAAAATCACGATTGTTACATGGTTCAAATTCAAACTAACTTAAAAATATGTATTTTTTATTTAATAATAATAATAACAATAAGTTTAATAATAAGCTTGCAATAATTATTTTAAAATTATACTTTATATGATTTTTAAATAGCTATCATACTCTCTTTTTTCCCTTGATATTGTACAAATTTTCAATTGTTTCACAAATAACAAAAATGTTACTTTATGTTCTGTTTTAAAAGGTTTATGTACAGGAAAATAGTGTCTCTTTTAGTTTTACTGTTTCCTAAATAAATATCTAAAAGCATAAAATAAAGTAAACAAATCATAACATCTCAAACCAAACATATTCTTATTCTTTTTTTTTCATAGAAAAAAATGAGATGTTTTTGGTGTAATAGTGTCGTGTAAAGTCCCGAACCATGGAGTTCTTATGGGTCAGACTACCGAAAAGCAAATGCATTTTGGTGATATGAGTAGTCAAATCAATCCCTTTAAGCTGTCCTTCAACGGTATAGTCCCATACCTATACAGTCTCTAGATCCCTCTCATTCCGGTGTATGTTCGATTCGTCCTGTGTCCCTTCCACTGGAAGTCTGCCAGGAGTCGCCCCTTGCACCATGCCGCTTGCATCGACGATCACTTCCTACCCTCGTCAGTGCCCGGNGCACAGGAAAATAGTGTCTCTTTTAGTTTTACTGTTTCCTAAATAAATATCTAAAAGCATAAAATAAAGTAAACAAATCATAACATCTCAAACCAAACATATTCTTATTCTTTTTTTTTCATAGAAAAAAATGAGATGTTTTTGGTGTAATAGTGTCGTGTAAAGTCCCGAACCATGGAGTTCTTATGGGTCAGACTACCGAAAAGCAAATGCATTTTGGTGATATGAGTAGTCAAATCAATCCCTTTAAGCTGTCCTTCAACGGTATAGTCCCATACCTATACAGTCTCTAGATCCCTCTCATTCCGGTGTATGTTCGATTCGTCCTGTGTCCCTTCCACTGGAAGTCTGCCAGGAGTCGCCCCTTGCACCATGCCGCTTGCATCGACGATCACTTCCTACCCTCGTCAGTGCCCGGGTGTCACATGTCGCGTGTTTATGAATTTGAGAAATTCATGAGACTTTATTGTAAATTAAAATTTTAAATCTACAATGACTTTGATATATACTAAGTGATAATACCATATTCTATACATATGTTACGTGCTAAATCGATGTATAAACTTTATTAACTTTTACATAGAAAAATTGTACATTAATTATGCAATAATCGATGCAAAATTTTCAAAATAACCAGTATAAAAAATTTCTTTATTATCAGTGAAAAGAATTCTTAGCTTCTTGTTAATTATACAGTTCTCTTCTCTAACAACCAAAATATGCTTGTAACTTTCTGTAAGGAAATAAAATGATAAATGTTCTTGTTCAAGTAGGTTTTGATTTTTTAAAAGAATGTACTTGACAAAAAAAATATTCCAGCAAGTCAATTGGTGTCAATTTATCACCAATAAAATGTTATTTAATGTGTTCTCTGTATAAAAAATGTGATTTTATTTATAAAGTGTTATTTATCATAGTTTTGTTTTTTTTTTCTAATGAGTGATTATTTTTATTTTGTTGATTAAGGATAAAA